CTATACTATAAGTAACATACCATATATTATACCTGTTAAAATAAATCAAAAATAAGAGAACATATTGTTGACGTATATACTTTTCCATCTGTGATTAGTGATTACCAATTGCAAATTACGTATGAACATGCTTCTGCGCAAAAAAAAACCATTATTTCAAGTACTTGTATCATTAAAGTCCATTAAATTATTATTTTTATAAATTTGCTAATCTTTGCACTTTAAGTTTCATTATATGGGGTATCCAGACATTTTAATCCTCGTTCTCTTCTATTTAAAATTATCTCAGGTGCCATATATTCCGAGTAAAATTTTTCTAATTTTTCAACCATATTTTAAAAAAAATGGGTTGAATATGAATTTTTTCAACAAATATTGGATTTTCATCTCCAGTATATACTACAAAGTAGCACAATTTTCTTTGAGCTATACCTAGCTGTCCTTGAATCTAAAAGTATATAAAATCATTATTAGAAAATCAAACATAAAAAGAATATTAATATTGTAGTATCATTTCTAGCACATTTCTTAAAAATCATGAATTATTTTTTGAAATTTTTCACCTGGTAAAAGTAGTAATGGTTTTCTTTTAAACGAATATCACCATCTTCTATTTTTAAGCATGGAAATGGGTTTGAATATTAGGTAATGTGCGCCAATAATGTCAAATTATGACAATTCGCAGAAAACGTCAACTTTTTATTTAGATTTTAATGTGCAAAAGCCTACCTACTTTGGATATTAATCGTAGAAAAAATATATTCAGAATAATGAAACATTATTATTAAATAACAAGTTTTTTTATTGTCAAATTTAATACGTAATATTATTTTTTAATTGCAAATATTTGAATGTTAAAATTATAGCGTTTAATTTTTTTATTCAATGACGAACTCGAGAGTGATAGAAAAAAAATACTACCTACCTTTAATGCAGGAAGTCGATGTCAATTTATCCAAAAATAAAACTGATTAAAATGTACAATGAAACTCACTAGGACACTTGGCACAAATAAATCAATTTTTTCTATTAAAGAAAATAACACTTATTAAAAACAAACAGCACAATAAAACACTTCAGAAACGTGTGATGTAATTTTGAAAACTAAATACCCGTAAGCTTGTTTGTAAATTTATAGACTCTTAACTCCTTCCCCCAGCCTTCATTAAGTATATTAAAAGTCGTGACGTCATATTGGCACAGATATTGTTACGGGTTTATTGCATAATAAGATTTGATTTATTAAAATACCGATTTGTAGTAAAAGACGAGATTTTTAAAAGAACAAATGTACTTACGACTATCAAGATGTGATGAATAATCCAAATTAATTTTTTTAGCAGTTCATTTAAAACATAAATAAAATAGTTTAATCCTCAGACGTAATTTAATAATAATAAAAACATTCTAAGTATGGTTATGTTTACATAAATAGCTTTAATGTATAGGGCACAGATCACTTGAATATTCTTCTTTTACCATTTACCAGTACTGCCTTTAATGCTGCTAAGCCCTTCATTTAAGTGGCTGCTTAACTGCTAGGATATGGGTCTTTATTTCTTCCATAATTTCTCTAGAGTGTTTATCTTTCTCTCTCTCTCGTTTTCTCTCTCTTGTTCCCGCTTCTTTTCCTGGCTAACCTAGAGACGTGCACGTGGTGCAACTCCGAATTTTCCGGATTTAATTAGTCTGAAAAGAATAAATTATTATTAGGATTAGTTACTTATATATCTAAGAAGATATATACACACTTTTGTGGATTATATTTTCCTAAATAATTTTAAAATAAACTTATGAGGCCCAACTCCAACAGTGGTAAGTTATAGACAGAAATACATGTTTAAAATAAATGCATTAGTAATATATAGTATAAATGCTTTTTTTTACCCAAGCTAACTGTACCTAATTATATTTTAGGCCTTTTTAGAATACCTGCTCCCTCAGCTTTTGCTTACCTAGCAATCTAACCTATATCTCCCGCTGCTTCGAGCTAAGTAGATAGCTAAAGAGTAGCTATTAGAATACAGCTACCCCTACTCGCTTCCTGGTCCCGGTTAAATAACATATATGCATTCCATAGGCTGCTAAAGTACCTGAAATCACGGAATCAGTGCCTATCAGATTAAGATGGTAAAGTTACTTACCAGTTCAATTTAGAACCATCTAGAAAACCTGAAGTGTTCCTCTTCATAACAAGTAAGATTAGTTTAGTTTTCAAGCATCCTGTCGGTGGTACCCATTAAACCAATTAAAGGAATCAACTGGAGAAGTAAAAACATACTGTAAACAAATTATAATTTATTATTTGAGTAATATTTATATGCGGTATTCATTACTGTAAACCACAGTTAGTACTAACCTTGGGTAATCGATTGAATACTAATTGAATTTTATACCATTTGATAACCTTGATGTTGTCCAACATAACTACAGATACTTTGTCTAATTAAAATATATTCCTGAAAGAACTCTTCTCAGTACGAATTTGTTTATTTGATTGTAACCTATCAATTAGCCGGGTAATTTAGGAAATAATAAAGAACCTACACTGTTAACCCTCCCTGTCTTTAACCAAGGGGTTAATGAGAAGAAAAGGGCTAACAATATACGGTAATGTGTTATTGACAATCAGGGACATGTTTCTAGGAAATGACTACCTAAGATAAGATAAGATAAATGAATGTTAAATACCTACTCATAATATCTATTGTAGGGTTTTTGTACTTTAATAGGATAAATATTTATGCGGGCCTGGAAATTCCAGGAAATGACAGTCAAAATTACCCAAAAACATTAGGTTAGTACCAACATCAGATAACAGATAACTTCGGTATATTTAACCAATTAATCACAATTAATATTCTTGAACATTCAAATGACAAAAACTTCCATCTTTAACCAATGATAATATAGTTTTCATTCGATACTTCAAAATCACAATTTATTAATTAGGTAGAATAGTTTTAAAATATATTGCGAATTGCGACACGTCAAGCGTCCCACTCCGACTCAATGTGGCAATATATTTTGAAACGACTCTATATTCGTGACTTGAAATTATAAACATCCCTCGTATTACTACCCGTATATAAACCAAATTATTTGTTTTAGGAAATATTTATATTTAATGTGAGGTAAGATATCGTTTTTGTTGTTACCATCTGCATCTACATTCTTTACTTTGGTCCAGGAAACAAAGTTAATTTTCGATAAAAATAAAATGTAATAGGTAGGTAATACTTTATGAAACAGTACAATAAAAGTATTGAAATAAAGTATGCTCATACTCCAAAATGAGTCCTAGAGTTAACATTTTTATAATATTATAAATGGTATATAAAACGATTGGACCGTTTTCACAATCACGAAATAATTTTTTTTATTTGGTAAAATCCCGGCAATTATTGAAAAATAGATTTTATGTTCAGGACTATTATTATGATCCTTCGAACTCAGTCTACTAAAAACCGGTTTATAATACAATATAATACAATATCCCCTAATAGCTAGTCGGTCGATATTTATAGTTACTTAAAGATTTCTGTAATAATTTGCACTAATTCAATCTCTAGTCGGTAGGTAACAGCACCTCCTTGATTGAATCTAAATTGACATATTTTTGTTCAGAAATTCCTAGGAGACGCTGTCATTAAGTATAAATATTAAAAATGTTTAAGTCAGAGGTGAGATTAGTCATATTATATGAGGGTAGGGAATACAAAGTTAACTTTGAGAGGTAGAAAGGATTTTTTTACTACCTACCTAAGTGAGTCCATATACAAAGCACAAAGATGTTATACGTGAATGGCCAAGATCAAATTTGACAACCTACATTTCTTTTGTTGATGTATACATATACAGGGTGTCCTGAAATTAGACAGTCATATTTTAACAGCGTAATCTACATCCTAAAATAGAAATCCGAAAACGTTTCGTTTTCGATATACAGGGTGTTACAAGTGAAATTCTGATGGCACATTCTTGTAAATATTTTTTAAAATTTCTTTAGTCAGTGGTTTTCTAAAGTTAAAATTTTTTTTTTAATACTTTTCTCTTAAAAATGGTACGTCTTAGCATGATACAACAAAAGTAGCTTTATTATAAAGAAAATATTGGTTTTCCAAATTTTGTAGTCAAAAATGTTAAAAACAGTCAACAAAAAAACTAATTTACCCACCTATGAAGTTGATCCATTAAATAGAGCGTAAAAAGCATTTGAACCAAATTTTATTTAGTTATCTTTAAAAGTTTAGAAAATATTTACATAAATGTGTCATCAGGGATTCACTTTTAATATCCTGTATCTCGGAAACAAAATGTTTTCGGACCTATGTGTATATAAATTTTTACTCCTACTTTAGGATGTAGAATACGCTGTTAAAATATGACCGCCTAATTTCGGGATACCTTGTATTTTCTATCTGATCTTGATTTTTTGTTGGCTTTGGTTTTTGGTTTGAGTTCATGGCTTTTCCTTGGTTATTTAATGAATTGTGAATTGTCTATTTCTTACTGTTTGCAATGATTAGGTGTTGGGTTGTAAAATATAATAAAAACTTTTTATTGATTCATCACAACATGCATCAATTTCAAAATTCAGAAAAAAAACAAGCAGGAAAACCTAGTGGAGAATAAATTTATCGCTCCACTTGATCCCAAAATTAGTTATCACAGTAATACAATATCACATTATTTGTCATCAGGTATTAAAGATATTATTTATTAAATATAATATGCTAGTACAAAGAATGAAATCTAAACACAAAATTTGTGCCACATATAATATAAGCTATCGATGTTCGCTTGATTGTAAACAAAAAATATCTGAAAATTGGTGTACTACATACTGTAAGTGAACAGTTTTCAATAAAGAAAGATCCAGGAAAGTGTAGTCATTAACGAGAAAATTTGAATTATGCCGAATAATCGAGTTTTGTCACAATCCAAGCCATTATTTGTTGATCCAGTCTAAATGGAAAGCATAATGAGAAACATAAATAATGAAATTTTCGATAAGAGAAAAAAGATTGGAAAAATTTGAGGATAAATTAAATAAAATTGAAGGTTATTTGGATATAGTAACAGAAAAAATTCATTTACAAGAAACAAAACTCTTAGTGAATGAAAATAAAGTTAAGCAATTAGATTTAATGCAAAGCAAAAATATGTTAAAATTCGAAGGGTTAGCAGACGAAGAAGATAAATATTTGCTCGATAAAATTTTAAAACTAATTAACCAAGGTATGAGAGTAAAATGTGAAGAAAGATACATTAATGAAATATATAGGCTGGGTAAATCAAAGAAAAACGAAAACGTACAGTTTGTTACATACATAAAAAGAAAGGAGGTCTATAAATCTAAGAAAAATCTAAACTAAACTGGGATATATGTTAATGAAGATCTCACTCAACAACAATATAATGACTTCAAAGAAACTGGTCAGAAATATGGAAATTCAAGAGTTTGGACCCAAAATGGTACAATTATGGCAAGAATGGATGAGGTGTGCACGTTATAAGATAAATACTATTCAATATTTGAGGAAGGTACAACTGTTTCGGATGGCATACATTTAGAACATTTATTAATTTATCTACATAGTTTTTATTCCTTTTTCTTTCTTTTTTAGGTTAAATGGTAATACTATAATATTTTTAATCATTGATTAATTCTTTTTTAAATATTTGATTCTTTGTTTATCGGAAGGAAATTTTTAAAAATAAGCTATAAAATGGTTTAATTAATGATCCGAAGCTCATATCAAACAAGTACATATATTTACTTTACTTTTATTATACTTATATATTATATTTTTTTGATATATTTATAGTTTTATAAATGGGTACCTTACAATGTTATTACCAAAATTGCCGTGGGCTTAAAGGAAAGGCAATGGACTTTTATTATAACATAATGGATTGTCACTATGATATTTTATTGGCATCGGATCATGGTTGACAGAGAAAATTAGGGATGGTAAACTTATAGATATAGATACAAACATATTTAATGTAATAAGGTCTGATAAGGATAAAACATATACTGGTAAGAGTAGAGGTGGCGGGGTACTTATGTGTTAATAAAAATAAAATTAAAATTTTAAATATAATTAAAATAACCCTCAGTTATGAAATGCTAATTTGTGATTTTAAAGTTAATAATGTTGCTAAAATAACCGTAGTCTTATTGTATATTCCACCGGAATGTAAAAATGACTGTTATGTTAGTATGTTAGATATCTTACAAGAGAAGATATTAAATAAAGATACATATATTTTTGGAGATTTTAATATTTCTTATATATCTGGAGTAGGTAAATATAGATTTCCTTACGGTAAATAATGTTAAAATTAATGAATTGACCGAATTCATATCTTTTTCATCATTACGACTAGTAAATAATATACAAAATCCAAGAGGAAATACACTGGACTTAGTAATGGCATCACAGTTAGCGGACATTAAGGTAGATATGTGTTTTCAACCTATAGTAAAAGAGGATGTTGTGTTTCATTCGACATTAGATCAGATTCAGGTGATGCAACTGATGTATCAAATTACCGATGTTTCAATTTTATGTGCTGCAGCAAAATTATTAGAACATATTTTATATCAAAGGATTTATAGGCATGTAGAGAATAGCATAAGTCTATTACAATACGGATTTGTTAATAAAAGATCTATCAACACTAATCTGTTTTGATTCACTTATGAAGTCTATAACTCATTTGAGAATAAGATCCAAATAGACACACTTTATGCAGACTTCGCGAAGGCGTTTGATAGAATTAATCATAAAATACTATTGAGCAAATTAGAATATTTTGGTATAAATCATGGCAATTTTTCTTTAAGTTTAAGGGGCAAATTTCTAGTTTTTGTAATATTACCTCTGGAGTTCCTCAAGGATCCAATCTTAGACCGTTACTCTTCGTATTATTTATAAATGATTTTCCTTCTATACTAAACGAATCTAAATGTTTACTATTTGCAGACGATCTCAAAATTTTCAAGGAAATAACTACTGTTAGAGATTGTATAGGACTCCAAAGGGATATCGACAGAATAAATAAATAGAATGATAAAAATAAATTACATTTTAATCTAAAAAAATTTAATATAATGACATTTACACATAAAATAAACCCAGAATATTTTGAATATATTATGGAGGAAAAATACTTAAATAGAATTAATGAAGTTAGAGATTTGGGAGTGAGGTTTGATTTAACTCTATCATTTGCAGAGCACTTTGAAAAGACTTGCAAATAAATCTTTAGGATTTGTTATGAGAAGTTCTAGAGAATTTTCTAATATAAACACAATAACAACATTATATTTTATTTTAGTGCAATCTAATTTAGATTTTGCTTTTATTATTTGGCATTCACAGCCGTATACTTTTTGAGTAAAATTGAGAAAATACAAAACAAATTTCTAAGATATTTGTATTTTAAGAACATAATATATGGCCCGATTGTAATATAACAAGGACAACGCATTTAAGGAGAACCTTTAAAATTAATTCTCTTAGCTTAAAAAGAAATGTAAATATGTTGATATTTTTATATAAAATAATAAACTCGGAAATTAATGATCCAGATATATAAAGTATTGTTTCGCAATAAAGTTACCCAAGCTTTCATGATAAATACTAGATCCACTGTACACGAGACCAATATGGATACTTCAGGCCCACCACCATGGTTTTTGAAGATGAAAGAAGAAATGGAAAGGAAAGGCGTAGGAAGAAAGAAGAGGAGGAAAAGAAAAGGCTTAGGAAAGTGAAGAGGCCACTAAAACTAGTCTTTCACTGCCCTCTCACAAATTCTAAAGATCCTGCAAAATATGCAACGAAGCAGCCAAAATGAGAGCAGAAGATGCTTTAATTGCGGAAGAATTTAAAGAACGAGAGGAACTGGTTGAAGAAGTTAATCTTCAGGCGACCATTATCAAGCCAGAGGATGACGAAGACAGAATTACCCTTGAAAGCCTAAGAAAGACTCAAATGAAAGACAATGACTTGAAGGTTGTCCGAGGATGGCTTAAAAATAGAGTTAGACCTACATGGCAAGAGATAGCCAAATATAGTGGAACCGTTAAAGGGTACTGGACCCAGTGGGATTCCCCGTATCTTCACGATGGCTTATTGCACTGGAAGTGGGAGAGCCCTGATGGAGTACATGTAGTCCGCCAAGTGATACTACTTAAATCACAGGTCAGAAGTTTGTTAGAGGAGCTTCATAGCAGCCGTTCAGGAGGACACTTTGGTACTAAAAGGACACTTGCACGAGTTCGGGATAGATATTCTCGGACCACTTCCCCTAACAGAAAGAGGAAACAAATACTTGTTGGTTGTTATGGACTATTTTTCAAAGTGGCTCGAAATAGTGCCTATTCCTAATCAGGAAGCAACGATAGTAGCGGAAACATTTATGACGAACGTTATTGCGAGACACGGGGTCCCCCTGGAATTACATTCTGACCGAGGACGGAATTTTGAATCCGTATTATGGCAAGAATTGATGAAACTGTTAGGCATTAAGAAAACACGAACTACGTCTCTCCACCCACAGTAGAAAGACACAATAAAACGATAGGCCAGTATCTTTCAATGTTAGTCTTTGATAATCAAAAGGACTGGGACACTTTAATTTCTCTATTTCTGCTAGCCTACCGAAGTTCTGAACATGAAAATACTCCATCCATGATGATTACTTGAAGGGAGATGAAACTTCCCCATGATCTTCTTTTTGGAAGGCAGCCTCCTGATAAAGAAGAGGGCCTTACACCTCCCACGTACATACAAAACTTAAGAGAACCCTACATCGTGCTGCAGTTATCATAAGTAAAAGTACGAGTAAATGAAGAAGATACAATATTCCTGAAAAGTCTCGAAATGTCATTCCTTGTCAAAGAAAAGTCCAAATTGTTTGAGAAGTTTCCAGAAGGGGAGGCAAGCTATATAAGGCGACGACTTGACGTCAGAGTTTCAGTTTTATGTAAGACGTTAAACGTTAATGTTATCAGTTGAAGTTATTATATCAATTGTATAATTATTGTTGTTAAAGTTTAGTTAAAATAAATTGTGAGACCAAAAACCAGCGTAACAGTATTATAAGCTTTAAAGTGTCTCGATACGGTGCTCGACATTTTCAAACGTTTAGAGTTCCCTTCTATTCTTTGTCATCCAACTTCCGATCCCCTCTGGCAACTATGCTTAGACTTGCAAATTAAGTAAGTTCCTTAACAGAATTAGATTGTTCCTTGATAATTTAAGAAAATTGTTAATGACTATTTTAATTAATTTTTCGATATACCTACGATTGTATAATTTTTGTTTGACTTATATTAGTGTTTAATAAAAAATACTTATGTATTGGATATGATTGTATATTTGTATTAATTATTCCATGTAATTAGTAACTAGGTCTCACCTTTGACAGCAAGTTAACATAGTGAGGCGAGACGTCGCTTTTGACAGGAGGCCTTCGATACGCTCCCGCTGCTTCAAGCAATCTCCATCTCACCGAGATATATCTTCCATAAGCCATATGAAGTTAGAACATATAAAAGAACCGGAAGTGGTAGGTACGACTCATATCTACACCGACGGTTCTAAAACAAAACAATGCTTAGGATATTGAATATACTCCAGATCTTCAAACCTAAACATAAAATAGGCTATGAGTCATACTGCCAGTGTAGTTTAAACAGAGCTCACGGGGATTCTCATAGCAGTAAACGAAATCACCAGAAACAATATCACTGGAAGGAACATGCTCATCTATTCACGGTCATTATTAAAATATCTACCATTGGGTATTTATTAATTATATTTATCAAGCGTTATCATGTAATGAATACTAAAAACAACAAACTATAATTTACCAAAATCCACAAAAAGTTGATATACTTATTGTATATATTCATCCTTTATAAGGATTTCCGAGATAAAAAGAAGAACAAATAATAATCGAAGTTTATAAATCAACAACGTCAAAAACCGACGCAATAAATCTATCCTCCTGCATAATAAATTTAATATAAGCGATCCGAAACCAAATTTTCATCTTGGAAAACACTCAAGAAAACAAAATACATTACGTATAGTTTCGGGTTTTTATCGGCACCGAAAGAAACGTTTATTTTATCTGATTTAGCGCCAGAGCGAATAATTTTCGGCGAAAAAAAGTGACAAGTTGCAGTTTGTTCACATCTATGAACGGAACTAGGAAACGGTTTGTCATTTTCGGAGTTGCCGCTAACCATCCGTCTTCAGGATGTGGAAATATCTTTGCAGTGCCAATCGTGGTGGGTTCAGATATTAAAAACGTGGCGTGTATGCTTATTTATGTGTTTATGGAGACCGAATGCGGTACAATGTATACAATCGATATTATTGTTGGGGTAAAACTGCGTTTCTAAGGTCCATATTATATATAAACCGTACTTGGCCAAGATATTTGGCTTAGTGCGCTCTCTGGAACAACCATCGAAAATCGGGTATATCACGGGAGTTTAGAGATATGCAGTAACAAATCCGTAAATGCAGTGTAATCGGATAAACAAAGAGAAAGAAATAAATAGGTTTTGAGTGATATAGGATAAGCTTAGAAAAACCCAAAAATTGTTCTATTTTACCTAATTCTTCATTTATATCTATAAAATATTAGAGCTAGTCAACGTTAAACGTTATTATTACTCTTTTTAAAACTAACAAAGTCAGATGTGACATAAGTATTTACATACCCTAGGAATAAGTTTAAAGACTTTGACAAAATTGACACATTTTAACAACTTATAACTCGAAAACGGAAAAAGATATTGAGATGCAGTTTTCACTAGACATTTTACATTTACTTCAAGTTTTTCTTGACATTGTTGTCACATGTAATTTATTTCTGGAAAGTGCCGAAAAAAAACGAACTTTTTTGAATCAAAATTGTGAGCTTATTTTAAATAGAACACCCTATAATTTTTAACATCCTCGGAAAGACCATTTCTTTCCCTTTCCAAAAATGTATTCATTGTAAGCATTTATTCAATTTTTTTTGGAAAAATTTACTTTTTTATGAAACCATGTCGATAACTTCTAAACGTAAAGTATCACAATTTAAAAGCCTTTAACTCGATAATGTGAAAATTTATTGATAAGAGGTTTTGACTAAAATTCTGGGAATTGTTTAAGTTTTTTATAAAATGGTTGTAAAGTCTCAAATGTCTAAAATTTTCGTAAAAGATTACTTTTACCAATTCTTCGTATTTGTAACGTTTATTTGCAAGCCTTTATCCATAAATCATCATTTAAAAGAATGTCTTAAGCGTTTTCAATATGTACCTTTATCTGTTTTTTTTGTCTATTTAATATTCCTCTTTTTGTAAATTAACTTACTCAGCTTTGGATAGAATAATAAATGATACTACTAATTTATCAAGGGTGCTATGTAAAACAAATTGAGTTGACAGAAGTCTATATTTGTAATAATTAGTGCAAGAGACAGCAGGTATTAAAAAATGTTTACCAAAAGTGAAAAAGCCCGGTGCGTTTTACTTTATATTGAAAGTAGATCAATTACACATACACAAAGAAGATTTAGAAATATGTTTGAAAAAAATTCGCCAACCAGAAATTCTATTTTAAACTGTGTAAGTCAGTTTAAAGAAACGGGAACATTAGATAGAAAAAAAAGACAAATTGAAAACGCTCAAGATATTATTTTAAATGATGTTATACAGATAAGGGAAATTTTATCAAGAAACAATAATAAAATATCTATTAGAAAAATTGCCCAATTCATACATATGTCAAAGAGTAAGGTGCATAACATTTTAAAAGTAATTAAGTTTATAGCATATAAGGTTCAGACTTTTCATAAAATTGAAAATCATGCATTTGAAAAGAGAGTTTTTATGTGTGGGACGTTATTAGATTTATTTAGACATCAACCAAATGTAAATCTAATAATGTCAGATAAAGCAACGTTTCATTTAAGTGGACGCGTAAACAAACACAATTGTAGGATTTGGGGCGACGAAAATCCTAGAGCTTTCAACGAGTTTGAAAGAGATGCTCCCAAGGTAAATGTATGGTGTGGTGTGTCCAAAACCAAAATTTATGGACCATTTTTTTTTCAAGAGGAAACAGTATATGGAAACAATTACACGGATATGCTAGAACTATTCTTTTATCCTCAACTAGAACAAGAAGAAATACTAAATACTGTACAGCAAGATGGTGCTCCACCGCATTACTCTCTTGTAGCCAGGAATTCTTTGAATTCAACCTTTGGAGATAAATGGATAGGTCGGGCTGGTCCCATCGAATGGGCTTCATATTCTCCGGATTTAACTATACCAGATTTTTTTATATGGGGGTATGTTAAGGAAAGATGCTACGATCCAACACCTACAAACTTAACTGAACTGAGGAATAATATAATTCATGTGTTTAATACAATTACCCCAGAAATGCTGCAAAATGCATTTACAAATTTTTTAATGCGTCTGCATACATGTATTGAACAAAATGGAGGCCATATTCAACAATTAATTTATTAATGTTTTAGTACATATTTTTTGTATTCAATAAAAATTCAGATAGGTACCAACATGGTGGGACACCACTTACGCCACAAAAATCCGTGTGGTATGAGGTGCTTCCCTCTGTTTTTATAAGTAAAATATTATTACTTGATATTATTCTGAAATTTATACCTAAGGGACAAGGCAATGAAAAACAGTATCTTATGAATGATCGTTCGATTTAAAACGTCAATTTATATTTCGATATGTGTCACCAAAATGTAATAGACACCGTTAACATTGATTTAATTACCTAAAATTAAAACCTATTAAAGCAATAAAAAAATTATAAAAAATTGACTTTTTTTAAAAGGCGAAGAAATAAACTATCTAATGACTATGAGAGATAGGAAATGTTTCATTCGCCATAAGACCTTAATCTGAATTTAATTTTTTTTTACGAAAACTTTACAAGTTTAAGATTTGGCAACTATGTCAGAAAAAAATTTAAAAATTTCCAAGAATTCTGGTGAAAACCTTTTATCAATACACTGCCTTACTCCCAAATTATAAATTAATTAATTGTGATACTTTACGTTTGGAAGTTATTGACATGGTTGCATAAAAAAGTGAATGTTTCCCTAAAAAATAAAGTAAATGCTTACAATGTATATATTTTTGGAAAGGGAAAGAAATGGTCTTTCCGAGGATGTTAAAAATTATAGGGTGTTCTATTTAAAATAACCTCACAATTTTGGTTCCAAAAAGTTCGTTTTTTTTTCGGCACTTTCCAGAAAAAAATTACATGTGGCAACAATGTCAAGAAAATCTTGAAGTAAATGTAGAAGGTCTAGTGAAAACTGCATCTCGATATCTTTTTTAATTCTCGAGTTATAAGTTGTTAAAATGTGTCAATTTAGACAATCAATGTCAATAAGTGACAAAATAACAAAATCAACCAAACACAAAAAAGGGGTGGTAGTTCGCATAATTTGAGATTTCATTTTTCTAAAAAAATTATAATAAACAAAATAGAGCCATTATAAAAAAAAATCAAAGAGCGGTTACTCATCGGGATTTACAACTCAAAAACAGGTGCGATTTGCATTTGTGTCGATTCTAAGCGTAGCGCGCGCGAGTCAATGCGTCTCGTCGCTGTGCAGGACCGTACCTGTTTTTATTTTAAATATTTTGGAAAAATTAAATCTGCGAATCGGTCTCAAATTATACGAACTACCACCCTTACAAATTTTGACGCCAAGTTCGGAAACACCCTCTATACATGGTGAATAATGGAGAATTATACTGGACCGTTTCAACACTCTCCCTCAGTGTGTATTCTTCATTATTTTTGTACACAAATAATTTAAGGAATATCTTGATAAAAGCTTTGTTAACATATCCGAAATATTTTCTTTCGATTAAGATCATAAATTTTTTCTAAATAAATATTTAGAAAATTATTATTATTGTCGAATTAGTGTAGATAATATGGATGAGCCTGTAACACCGGTTCCCACTAATAAAGCCAGAAAGCGAAGCCGCGATCCGACTAAATGAAAAAAAAAACGTATTAAAACGTCAAAGGTAAGTCATTTGCTATTTTATCTTGTATCGTATTATATTTATTTGTAGATTTGCCCCCAAAGGTCTACCACAGTATTCAAGCTGTGGATATGCCACAAAATCGTTTGGGTGTTCAACGTTAAAGAAGTTTCACGAATCTTTTTATTCGTCTGAAAATAAGGTGAGTCAAAATGCCTTTATTTTGAAGCATTGAAGCATGCAAACGTCGTCGTCGAAAAAATAATTCTCATGAACCAAAGACTACCGCCGTAAAATGTTATGTGAGGACTTCAAATGCGGAAATACCCGTATGTCGTGAAGCATTCCGTAACATATTAGGCATTACAAAACACAGAATAGCTTTTATAATGGAAAACTATGCAAAATCTGCCACATTACCAGTAGAGAAACGCGGCGGGGACAAAAAATCATCACAATTTACTGATAAAAGAGAATCTATCCAGGACTTTTTAGGCCAGTTCCACTGCGTTGAGGCACATTATTGTCGATCAGTTACAAATCGTCGGTATTTAAGCTCTGACCTAAATATAAAAAAACTGTTCAGGATGTACAATGAGTCAGTCTCCCAAGAACTTAAAGTAAAAGAATCGTATTTTCGTTAGGTATATTTTCAATAATATAATAGATATAATAATTTAAGTTTTAGGACACCTCGCACTAATGTATAATAATAATAATACTAATAATAAAGTTTATTCAGATAAACAATTACAATAAAATAATACATCATTTAACTTATTAGAATAAACAAAAGAAAGAAAGAAACCCGCAAAGGTAAGCCTGTGCGCGGGCGATATTTTTCTCTTTTAGAGTATTAAATAAAATTAAATTAACCAAATTAAAATATTTAAAAATAACATTAAAAATGTGTTAAAATTAACAATATATACATGCTTAATAAATTTTAACAAACTAGTAAAATAATAAACTTACTTCTTTATGAATGTTGTACAAAATAAACAGTGGTTAAAATAAACAAATTAGAAATTAGGATGAACATTAGTTGCTTACAGATAAAAATTCGAAACTTAAATTTTTGTATATGTAAATAATATTTTATAACTTTTTTTTTATATTTATAAATATTTATAATATACTGCTACTGTTTGTCAAAAAACGTTTTAAGGAATTTTCGGGAATATTTTATTTTTAAAATGATTAAAAGAATTAATTTTTTTTATTTCAGCTGGTACGTGATTATACAATTTCGGACCAAGATACATATGTGATTTTTGCCCTAGTGTTTTATACATTCTTGGAATTTCAGAAAAATTATTTTTATTTCTCGTATTATAGGTATGTCCGATTGCTTTAAGGTTGTCCCTATCTTTATATTGTTGGAGTAATAAAATTTTGGTGAAAAGCTGATGTATATTTAAAATATTTGATTGACTATATATATGTTCTGAAGGAAAACGATGTGGCAACTTAAAGATAATTTTTATAACCCTTTTTTGAGTTGTGATAAGTCTTCCTAAATAAGTTATACCAGCAATACCCCATGCTAATATCCCATATGCTAAGTGCGATTCTATTAAGGCAAAATAGATCGTACGGAGATATTCAGATTTTAAAATATTACTCAGATATTTTATTTTTGACATTATCATTCTTATTTTTTTTATGACGTAATTAATGTGATGTTGCCATCTGAGATGGGAATCTATGTAAATACCTAAATATTTAATATTTTCAGTATTTATTATGCTTACGTGTTGGTCTTGACCTATATTAAAAGTTATTTGATTAAAAGGGAGTAGTGTTCTATCATATGAAGTAAACGGAATATATTTAGTTTTATTGAAATTAATTGTTAATAATTTGGAGTTAAAAAATGCTATTAAATGACTAAAGTCTTCTTCAATCATTTTTCGTAAGGAATTCCAGTTGTCACTTGTAAAAAATATAGCTGTATCATCCGCAAAACTTATTATTTCACCTCTACATCTCTGCTTAAATAGATCATTAACATATAAATTAAAGAGCAGTGGTCCCAACACTGTTCCCTGAGGAACTCCATATGTAACAGTTTCATATTTACTCGTAGTGTTGTTTATTTTTACACATTGTTTTCTCTTATTTAGATAACTTTCCATTAGCTTATATGTAGTTCCTCTAAAACCGCAATCCTCTAAGGTAGATAGCAGTTTTTTGTGATCCACAGTATCAAATGCCTTTGCCAGATCAACAAAAATACATATTAAGTGTAAGGGGTTAAAGAAAAGGTCCTTTATTTCTCACAAGTCAATTTAATTGGCGACCGGTTTCGAAGCTGTCACTTCATCATCAGGCACACCTAAATGGAATGTCAAGGAGTCAGTTGTAATGAAAAACAATTATAAAAGCATGAACGGACTTTAACATATACAAAATAACAGAAAAAACACAAAAGAAGTTAAACAATAACCTTGACTCACCTAGACTATTTCCATAAAGGAAGCGCTACATAAAGTTTAACAAAACGAGTTAAACTTTATGTAGCGGCCAGAACAAAAACATGGTCATGATAGGAATGTGTTGTAAGTGGCTTTCTGAAGAAGCACCTAAAAACATAGATTGGTTTTTCCTATAACCGGTCATTCCTTTTTGCCAGCTGATCATGTGTTGCCCAAATCGAAAAAAAGTTAGAAAAATAGAAGTACTTACTAAACCTTCACAGTATGTTGATATAGTAAGTGAATCTGGATCGGTTTTCCATTTAGACGAAGACTGTGAAGTCCATGACTGGAAAGAAGCAGTTTCAGAGCATCTGACATCTACTGCCTCTTGGAATTTTCCATTTAGACAAACAAAAAGATTTTACCTGACCCGTTATAGAAGTGGTAGCGTTTTCATAAGGGGAGAACCCTATTATAGGAATGATCTTAATACCGCAAAAAATGTTTTTAAGAAAGGAAAAACACCTAAAACTATTCGTCCAAAATTAATTAATCGTTGTAATAATCGCATAAGTAATCTTAAAACAAATAATGTAAAAAAACTACTTAAAAATCACTTTGGAGAGAACTGGAGAGAGCTACAGGAGTTGGCGTTCTACAACGATGTTATTGCTGAAGAAACAGTAATAACAGATCCACAGGAAACCAATGACGATGACACAAACTGCGAATTTGTTGAAGAGTTACCAGCTGTTTTGATTTAGCTTATTGTTAGTATATTTACTGATTTATATTACCTGTTAATAAATGATAGAAACAACCCTTTAGTATTTAGTTTTAGCTAACCGCAGACATATTTATAATCAAACATGGCAATCTCCCAAAGTGAGTACCAAAAGCGGCAATCTCCAATTTTTTTATTATTTCTTGAAAAAACCGTGAAGCATTTTATGATTTTTTGCCAGTCAGCCTATTTTTTTAACACTAATAATTCTATAGAAGTAAATAAAACAATCCTAAACCTTTCTAGGAACCTATACACAGTTTTTTATAGTTAACCAAAATTCTTAAAAATGGAGATTGCCGCTTCAATTACAATTCGAGCTTTTTCTTACTTTTTAGCTTTAAATTTGTTTATTTCTTATAGTATGTGATAGTGTTTATATTAAAAATGAAATCTGCGAAAAAGCCCTCTGCAAATTAAAATCTATTCGCTCCGTGCGCGACCGCAGCGCCAATTCGTTTTGGTATTAATGGACTATTTCTGTGTATACTGACAAATACAATTTTTAATAGAATTCGTAATTAAAAAGTATATACGTTAGTTTTAATAAAAGTATATGGATTTGTAAAACAAGTAAAACATTAATTTATTATTATTATATATTTTTAACGCTTAAATTAAAGAAAATTATGTATAATCAATGAAAATCAATAATTAAATATAGGCAGGCAACAGAATTTACTGGAAAATGTATGAGAAGTTGCCTAAGTCTAATAAGTTGTCATTGAAGAATTAGCCTGTTGTCAAAATAAAAAAATACCATTTAGTAATAGCATGAAGTTAAAATGTATAAAAAAAGGATCGCTATTTATATTTTCATTTTTGTTCGAAAGAAAACATAGAATGAATGATTAAAACTGGTTTCTCATCAGTAAGTCACAAAATTACATTCCATCCACATATTAATAATCAAAGGCAAAAATCTTGAAATCTAGTCCTTGCTGAATGAACATTTAAGAATAAAAGGACATTAAAGAACATCGTAAAATAATAATTTATTGTTTATTTAAAACCTTTCAAGTTTCTGATGTCTACTATTTACAGCATTACCCCAGCAAACATTTTGGTGTAATTTGACATCGATACTACCTAAATTATATACAGGGTGGCTCACGCTCAACGGGACGGAGCTTTATGGGAAAACGACCAAAGATATAAAAAATTCGTTTGGGAGGAATACGTAGGTTACAGACGGCTACAATTTAAAATTTGTTAGATGTATACAGGATGTCCCACATAAGAGAAAATATACAAAGTTATATTATTTTTAATGGAACACCCTGTTTTTTATTTTAGAATTAAAAACTACATCAAAAATAATGTGAGTTAACTAAAGGTTCACTATTACTATTATTATTAGTTTTCGATTTATTTGAATTTTTAAGGAAAAAAAGTCTCCCAGAAATTAATTGTTTACTCTTGTTTGAATAATTTTTAATGAACTAATTTTTTTTTCTTATGTGGGACATCCTGTACACATCTAATAAATTTTAAATTGTAGCCGTCTGTAACCTACGTATTCCTCCCAAACGAATTTTTTATATCTTTGGTCGTTTTCCCATAAAGCTCCGTCCCGTTGAGCGTGAACCACCCTGTATAATAAATTTGGTCGCAAAATTAGATTTAACCATAATTAAGTAAAATTTACGTTGGCTCGACGTGGATTCGACATAAGTGGAGAATAAGACGACGTCGAAATTTGGTTTTATTTACCAAAATAGGTAGAATTACATCTAAATTCACATTGTAGTAGCCCAGTACGTTTGGTTAGTAATACCTCTCTAGGGAAATTTGACGTCAGTATAACGTTAATTTGACGTTGATTTAACTAAGTTTAGGTAGAAACTACCAAAATATTTGCAGATGACGTATGCCTCCAAGTGTACGAAAAGAAATTTTATACTTATTTGGTATTTTTATCTATATATAAGTAGAAATATTGTAAGAAGTCACCAACATAACTAAAACATATACCTAATTCACATGAAAGATTGAAAATAAATAAATGTCGGTGACAAAAATATATGTAATGTAATTGCGGTAAATATACAGTTCACGCTTGTTGAAATTAATGCGAAGAAAATTTTGTCGGGCATGTTAACAGTTCTACTTAGAAAAATTACAATTCCCTTCCAAAATACTCTCTAATTAAAAAAATATAAAAAAAAAATATGATTGTGTAAAAAAATAATAATATTATGAGCTAAAACTATGTTACGTTTGTTGTGTATCACTTTAGAAAATCAATAATGTTTTGTTTTTCGGTATTTTCATTCGTATGTTTTAGTTATGGTCATTTTAAAAATTTAAAATTTGGAATCGTACTTCAATTACGTTAAGAAAATATGGCGTATTGTGCGAATTCGACCTAAAAGTTATTATATACTAAGAAAATCTACGTATTTTACAAATACCTTTTTACTAAGTTGAATTAACTTCAATTTCACGATATATTAGTTAACTTCACCTATTTCAAGAAATAATAACTTGTAGGTTTTATAAAAAATTTACCTATAGGTAAATATAACATATTTAGGTCACGTTGTTCTGCACTTGAGATTTTAGACGTTTCACTTTACGATAAAAATCGGAAGTATAACGATATGATTTATTATTTTTCGAACTCATTTTATTAATTATTTTTCGCACTCATTTAAAGCCCTATCTACACCACACGTAAATTAAGATTACGACTGTAACGGTTTTTTAAAATGGCCGAAATTCTTAAGAATAATGACGAAGACAGTAACTGAACAACATAATTGTTAAAATTACCTAAATAATATAAATTTTACAAATAGGTCATGTATGATTCTTTTTAAATTGGTGGTTTTTAGTCGAATTTACTTTGTGGTAGATTTTTCAGGTAATTGCTACAACAAAGTTAATAAATATTTCTTCAAGATGACTTATAGGTCAACTAAATGAGTATTCGACTATTTAGTTGAAATTAGGTAGATAAACAGGTAGAATTTTGTTACGATCTCGACCTAATATTACTTTAAAGGAGAGTAAATAAAAGCGGCCAAATAGGTTACTATGGAGGCATAAAATTACGTAGAATTTTTAACCAAATCTACCTAGTTGGATATTCTACTATAAAGACGATTTTTAGTTGCCAAACAGGTAGATATTACCTAAATATGGCACCTAATTTTACTACAAAGGAAATTTAACTTTGAAGTAATTGTTGGTTATTTTTTTTAGTAGTTTTTCCCTTGCTGGTATGGTTAAAGTTACTTTTAAGCAGATTTGTGTAAAAGGTAGATTTCTTGGTATAATTTACGTAAATTTAAATATAAATTAAAACCGTTTGGTAAATTTACATTAGAGGTATATTTTTCTAGTCAATTTTACGTAATAATTACCTCAATAAGTAAATTCGTCTTTAACAAAGTCGAGTTATAACTAATGTTATAGAAAATGTTTGCTGGGACTGTTATGATTACAAAAATAAAGGTAATTTTTCTTCTTATTGTACATCTATTCATTTATTTCTTTGACTTAATTTCCACTTTGTTACTGACATTTTTTATATAAGTTTCACTGTATTTTTTGGCTAGTATTTGTACAATTGTCAATACAGCAACTCCGGTTGCTTATTGTATTGTCTGAACATACTTAAAAAAAAAAAAGTCAAATGTATATGTGTATTTGATATGCCAAAATTACAAAATATCGCCCTAAAATGCACGAATTATCCGCAGCTAGCGCTAGAATCGCTTTTGCTTCCCTTTCCATGACTTCGCACGGAGCGAATATGGTGTTAATGACAAAATCAAAACTGAAGTATTCATTATTTTCCAAGTTCAAGTCGTAAAATTTTGTTTCTTACGTTAAATGGATATCTACAAATTCACAATATCGAAATGTTGCAAAACTTTGTTTCGAATCAAATTGTAATCTTATTTGTGACGGTTTTATTACTATTTACATCTATACAAAGTATTACACAATTCACATCATATTATAAAAATAAAAATAGTAAGATTTTTAAATAAGTTCTTCAATAATAAACGTTTGGTACCTGAAATTTCCTTTAAACCACATAATAAAAAATGTCCTGGGTTTAGTAAATACATATTTCTAGATGTTCTTGTAGCAACCAATAGGTAAATATTTCCAACAAATTAAGTCATACACATGATAAATATTATATATATACTATTTATGATGAAAACTCGAAAACTAAACTTAAATTAACACTAAATGAAACCCAAAAACACTATTACAATGAGAATATTATCTAAAAACAGTTAAAAAATCACAAATACAAAATCTGCCCAAAACAAACACATGTAAATGAACAAACATCCTACTTATAGGTGACAAATGACAGGCGCGCGAAAATTAATTTGAATCGCGTATAGCCACGAGGTAAAAATTGGAAGTGATTAGTAGCAAGGAGCCGGCAAGAGATAAAGATACCATAATTACGTCATTACGAATTTAGCGTATAATAGACAGTGAAATGTGTCAAATAACATAGCAAATCACCAGTATGAAACTCGTCTCAAATTGAATTCATCACAATGAATTCCCATCCCTTAGATACCGCTAAAAAGCTCATAAAAATGCGAATAAAAGACAAAACTACTAACCGGAAGTTCATTAAAAATTGACGAACGATTTTTAGTAGAAAAGCAAACAAACGGGGTCATTTAACACTTTAACCGTCATAACCATAATGTACGATATATAGAATAGGGGCAAGGCGCAAGAGAAATTCAGATTTAATTTGCATTGTTTACAAAGAATGCCCTGGGAATGTATTCCGTGTTGTAGTATTCGCACGTGTTAAAAGGGAGAACAGAATAAATTGCTGGTGTCGGACAGTAACGGATATCCGTAGGGAGCAGAAGGTCTTGTTGCTGCAGTCATCATTAATAATTAACAACGAAAATGTGTTACTAATAATACTCGAATTTGATAAATTCAGGCGTTGCTTTATTAAAACGAAATAAGCTGGGCTATCAAAGA